GGACATGGGGAGGAGCGACATGGCGGGGGAGCTGGGACGGTGGCGTGGCGGCCGGGGGCCTGCAGAGGGACCAGTCCTCACCCGCAGGATCCTCAGGAGCCTTCTCTCTGTGGAGTTACTGTATTGTGTCAGCTTCTCCCACGGCTTGAAACGCCTGCTCTGGTGGTTCACGAAGTTGTCCCAGCAGTCAGCAAAGTCTGGGATGAAAGGGGGCGGTCACAGTCAGGCCCGGTCGAGCCTCCCCTGCAAGGCCAGGGCCTTCTCCTTCCTTTCCCCTCCCCTCTCTCCCTCTCCCTGGAAATGTCCCTTCCAGGGGGTGTCACATCCCGGGCATCAGCCGGGCCACCATCCTTCCAGTCCAGCCGTCTCCCTTCCCCCAGGGCCTTCCTTGTCCTCCCAGAACGGCACACCCTCCCGACCGCGGACAGCAGCCAGCCTCCCTACCTGGTTCTTTCATGACCAACACTGGAATATTGATTTTCCAAAGATATCGCAGCCCTGCCTGGTTTTTCCACAACCAGTGGTAGTACAGGCGGGAGGTGAAGATCTGCAGGCTCAGATGGGGACAACTTTTGACGAGAGCCACCAGCTTCCCAGCGCAGTACGAACAGGGGCTCCAGGTGATATAGCAGGTGATTTTGTAGCTCTTCGTTTGGTCCAGGTTCAGTGAGCGGATCTTGTTGATAAAGCGAATTTCTGCATGGTTCTTTTTCTGGGGAGGGTCCCAGACAGAGAAGGAAGGGTCGGTCAGAAGGCAGAGCTCGTGACTTCTGCCCTGTATACTTTTGAACATGAAAACTTGCCTAAGACAGGAAAGAACCTCCTTCCTTCCTTTATTATTCACTCCTTCATTAACTCACTCACCCATTAATTCAAGATTCCCAAAACACCCGCAGCTTGATCCGCATCGGACCAGGGTCCCAGCGGCCAGGGTAGGTGATGGCTTAGCAAAGAGACGCCCCCTCCAGACAGTCCTGAATGCTCCGAGGACCTGTTTTGCCATTTGCCCAGGAGCATCTAGAGTTGTGTGAACCTGGAGGTCCCAAGGAGCAGGTGAGAGCAGGCGGGGGAGGCCGGCCGGTTTGCGAAATAGGTGGGAAAGCGGGCCTGTCGTGGAGCTCTCGTAGGTGGAGTTAAGAGCTCAGTCCCAGGAAGAGAGCTCGACTTTCTCAAAGTTGAGGTCTGGAGGACCAGGAAGCACTAACTTCTCAAAAGGGGCGGGAAGAGATTCTGGTGGAGGGCAGGGCTTCTGCCGAGGCCCAGCATGGAAGGAACGAGGGGCGTCCCAGCGGAGCTGGGCTACCTCAGACCCAGCGACGTGTCGGTGTTTGCCCTGCACACAGGACAGGCTCAGCCCCTCCTGCCCTGCTCCCGGGAGGCCCGCTCAGCACCTTGTTGATAAAGTAGCCCTTGTCAAAGGTTTCATTGGGCAGCTTCAGCTTGTAGCACAAGTAGGTCCTCCTCCGGCCTTGGGGCTTTTTGACTCGGAGCTGGTTGCCAAAATGGTAGTTAAATGTTTTTTCCGATAGTAGATTCATGTTTCTGTGCAACAGGAAGGAGAAAATCGAAGCTGCAGGGAGCATCCTTTGGAGCCCCCCAGGCTCTGCCACCTTCTCGGGTCCACGTGGGACCTGGGGGTGGTAAGGGAGGTGAGGGAGGGTCTCCCCTTTCTTTGTGGCCAGGAGGACTGGGGAATGAGAAGGAAGAGGAGAGATCTCCCACTGTGTGCGCTGCCCCATGCCTCCAGCCTGGCCCCCGCCACCACCCAGCTTGGAGGTCACTGCAGGCAGGACGGCCGGCCTGGGGGGTGGGGCGCGCGCCTTGGAAACTGGACACTGTATGTCCTTCCTTGGCTAATACACCTTGTCCTGATTCCCAGAAACTTTTCTTTGGGGCTGGAAGCTGCTACTTCCTCTAACTCTTCTGTGTTTAGATGCGTGTGTCGCAATTTAGTCTGTACAAAGAGCACAGAGGCAGGTGAACAGGAAAACCTGTTGTCGCCAAGGGAGTGTTCGGACAGAGACTTTTGGCTAAAGGATTCACATAGCTTTTTCTCCCCCTAATTGCGATTATCCTCTATGGAGTATTCCATTTCGTATCTTGCCTTTTAAAAATTGAATATTATATGGCAAAGCGACCTGGCCCATGTGGGCATTCAGAACCACCGGATTCTTTCTGAGAAATGCTGTTGGCTCTGCACAGATAGACTAGGGGCACAGAACTTGGAGCCTTCCTGCCACGCCCCAGAAAGTGCTCGAAGCTCGCCGTGGCCAGACCTCACCGCGTGTGAACACTCGTGACCAAGCAGACACCACACAGCGTGAACAAGCTGGGTATGGAGCCCCGGCCTGCTGTCCTTCTGGACACTCCGCCCAAGGCTAATGTGCCCTGGTTGACCATTTAGTCAGGCTCAGGGGACCACAGATCTCAGACACTTGCTTTGGACACAGAAATCAAGCTGAGGCGCCCTTCCCCAGGGCATATAGCGCTGGGTACAATTGATTTGCATACCCTGTTTCTGCAAAGCCAGAAATACCCCTCTCGTGTTTCCAGCCAACTCACCGAAACACTAATTCCGCCTACAAAAAACCGTTTCTGAAATCAGTTATGCTAATTCATAAAGCCACTAATTTCATCAATGGAAATCCGGCTCTGAAATTCCCTTGCTAACTAGTGAATAAATCTTCAGGTAGAATTGGATGACGATTGCCGAAGAGACCATCTGTGACTGTGGCTTTTAATTATGGACCAGTGACCTCGCTGGAAGTTCGTACTCCCAGTTAGGGCCACTGGCCGCCCTCAAGGTTAGGATTCGAAGGAAGACACCTACCCATTCATCACACACTTAAGACAAAATCTTCCTGATTTTAGCACCAAAATGCCTACATTCTTGGAAACTTCCCAGCACCAAGCAAACCCACATACTCAAGGCTGAAATATTTCAAACTGTAGACGAGAGCACTATCGTAACACATTGACACTTGGCCTTGAATAGCTCAAGTTGTAGTTATGATAGAAACAACTTGGAAGACAGACTCGAAGACCGACTTAATCTTTCGCGCTTGGTCATGTCTTTAAGAGAAACAATTGATCATCCTGTCTCGGAGAGGAATTTTCCCTCCTTGGAGCAGACATGAGAACATTCCTTGGAAAATTGTGCAAGATTTTAAATAAAATTTATCAATATGCTTTTGTAGCTGCCTCCAACAACTGTTTCAATCATCCTTGACCCTAAAGTGGACAGTTGAGCTTGAACAAAAGGACTTTTAGGAAGACACGGCGGCACGCTCTGGGATATACCGGTGACTTAGAGAGAGAGGCTGCGGGGGGCAGGGCTGGGGCCTGAAGCAGGGACAGGCCCTGCAGAGATGGCCCCAGAGAGGTTCTCTAACCAAGGACTGGGAGCAGGGAGGAAGCAGGAGCAGAGAGGCAAGTGGGCAGTGGTACCTCATCCTTGCAGTTCGGCCCCAGCCTCCTTGGTAGGCTTGTCCCAGCCTCCCTGGTCCCCGGGTGCTCGGCCTCCATTGCTCGTGCATAAGGCTGCCCCGTAGCCTTGGGAGAGCCCCTTACCTGTCCTCCTTCAATTGTCTGAGTAGTGGACCTGCCCCCTCCTGCTGTGGTAACCCAGGGTGGGAGGCCTGAGGGTGATTTTGCTTCTCTGGGCTCTGACACGCTTCTTTCTTCCTCCTGGGCCCTAGACTTACCCGATCCTGGGCATCTGGCTACATCTTCCTCATCAGGGTCTTCCTGAGCCTGTCCTTTTTCATGGGCCAGCGGGCTTCGTTTCCTCTCACAGTGCCCGGCCTTAGGGAAGTCCCTCTCTGAGTGACTGCCCAGCCTTCTCAGCTGAGGCGCCTCCCCCTTCCTGCTTTGGCAGCAGGGGTGGGAGGGCCCTGGGGTGTGGGCCTCCTCTGTCTCACACCCACCTTCTCTCCATCTCTGGGGCCCTCCCTCTGGGCAGAGCTCCCCCTCGTGGCGACAGGCCCCTCTGGGCAGCAGGACCCACCCTTACTGCAAAGCAAAAGATAAAGTAAGGAGGGCAGGGAGAGGGGATGCGACAGGCCCTGAGGGTGACCGCAGGACAGAGGCCCCACCTCCCTGGGGAGGGGCCGGAGCCCTCTCCACAGCCGCCCTGCACCTAGCCCTGTGCCGGGCGCATGCTCTCCGCCTGCCCGTTGACAGCAGGTGATGAGAAGGGGCAGACTGGGTGAGCACGCCTGTGTTTTCAGACCCTGTAGCTATGTCCTCCTGCTTGACAAAGACACACACGTCAGCATC